GGCTGGCTGCAACAGAGAGTGTAGCTGTAAAAGAGGGTGTAGCTGCACTCGAGGGTGTAGGTGCAACAGAGGGTTTCTCTGCACTTAAGGGTATAGTTGCAGTAGTGGGTGTAGCTGCAGTGAAGGGTATAGCTGCAACAGAGGGTGTAACTGTAACTGAGGGTGTAGCTGCAACCACGAGTGTGTAGTTGCAACTGAAGCTGTGACTGATCGTCTATGGAGAGTTGCAAGGAAGGTTGCATTCAGCATTGTGCCAGGCAGAGATGGCGGAAAAAAAAAAAGAGAAAAGAAAAGAGCTCTCTGGGAGATGCATGCACTGCAGCTGGTTATGACGCGGTTGAGGAACGATGGGTAGGCAAGAGAATGGCAGGGCCAGCAGGGTTTGGTTGAAGGAAGTGAGCGAAAGGAGAGGTAGTAACTGTCAAATTATATATTATGTATATAATTGTTTAGGCTTGGTATGTTTGCTACATTCCTGAATCCTACTGTAGAGGGGACAACCCCCCACTTCTTGTATCTCGTTCTCTTCTAGTCCAAGTCTCTTTCCTCTCGTAACTTTCTCCTAGCACCTAAACCCTCACGCAATTTCCATGGCTCCTCTCCTTATCTAGCTTGTTTAACAGTAACGGCCATAACGGCAAGTTCTGCCGACGTTTTAGGCAGAGCAGCAGGGATACCAGCAGGTACAACAGCCGCGGGTAATGCAGCAGGTAGTGAAATAAATTCGGCAGCGGCAACCGCAGCAGCCAGAGCAGCCCCAGCAGCACCACCAGCACGGAGAGTTGAGTTGAGTGAGCTGAGACTTGTTCGATTCAGGCCGGTCCGTGGTAAAAGGTTTACTACTATATAAGTGTACATGAGTCATGCATTTATGTTACAAGTTTGGATCAAGGTCCATCTTCACTACAGCACTGGCATCGCCATCATTCTCGGAGCCCTGAGCCTTCTCCACAGCTGTCCTTCCGTTACAAAGGTAACCGCTTCTTCCCTCCCCGCCTCTATTACCATCTCCAGACCACTCCATTTGTGGCATAACCGTGTGGCGGTGACTGCTTGAGGCTTGAGCCGACTTTGCTTTAGGCAAGTACTGCAGAGGATGCAGAGTACTCACAGGCACACTTCTTCTCTCCCCTCCTCTACCCTCTCCTGACCGCTCCGTTTGTGAAATACCCGCGTGGCGGTGACTGCTTGAGGCTTGAGCAGGCTTTGCTTCAGGCAAGTACTGCAGAGGATGATGAGTGCCCACCGTCACGCTTCTTCCCTCCCCTCCTCTACCATCTCCAGGCCACTCCAATTGTGGCATACCCGTGTGGCATTGACTGCTTGAGGCTTGGGTGGGCTTTGCCTCAGGCAAGTACTGCAAAGGATGCAGACTGCTCACCGGCGCGCTTCTTCCCTCCGCTCCTCTACCACTGCCAGATCAATCCATTTGTGGCATACCCATGTGATTAGCGAGGCTCGTCATTGCAACCGAGTGTGCTGATGCAACTGATGGTGTGGCTGTAACTGAAGGTGCACCTGTAACTGTTAGTCCAGCTCTAAATGAAGGTGCCGCTGTGACCGATGCTGCAGCTATGGTTGGTTGCGCAAGCACAGGAGATGCAGGGGTGGCTGCATCCTGCATTGCTCTGGGAAGAGAGGACAGGAGCAGAGAGGACAGGTTCGGAGAGGGTGGGACCGGAGAGGACAGGACCGGAGAGGACAGGTTCGGAGAGGTAAGGACCGGAGAGGACAGGTTCGGAGAGGACAGGTTCGGAGAGGACAGGACCGATAGAGAAGAAACCTCCCTGGGTGCGTGTGTTTCAGCTAATGGTGCTGCCTGCTGCTGCTGCTGCTGCTGCTGCTGCTGCCCAGCAGTCGGCTGGGCTGGTGCTGCCCATGCGGCAGGATGCCCGGCAGTCACCGCAGCAGTGAGAGCGATAAGTTTGGCCACAGTCCCAGCAGCACCAGCAGCACCAGCAGCACCAGCAGCAACAGCAGCACCGGCAGCACAGGCAGCACCGGCAGCACCAGCAGCACCGGCAGCACCAGAAGCACCGGCAACACTAGCAGCACCAGCAGCACTGGGAATCGAGTGCGCTGTGGAAATGGATCTTCCCAGTTCTGGTCCCTGCAGCGCCTCTCCTCCTTCTTCACCCCCCCCTGGTTCCCCTGGCTCCCCTGGTTCCCCTTTCATCACCCTCCGGCTGCTCTGATATGAGGCAGTAGTGCATGTACAGCCCTCGCGCGCAGTGCTGAGTGGGTGTGTGGGTGGCATACCAGAGCAAGAGGAGGTCGATGCAGCAGTGAGTCTGGTTGGCAGTGGGGCATTAGCAGTGGCAGCGGCAGCGCAGGAAGCAGCAGCAGAAGCAGAAGCAGCAGAAGCAGCAACCGCAGCAGAGGGGGTATTGGCAGCAGCAGCAATGGCAGCAGCAAGGATGGCAGCAGCGTGTAGCTGTTGCTGCTGCTGCTGTTGCTGCTGTTACTGCTGCTTCTGTTGCTGCTGTTGCTGCTGCTGCTGCTGCTGTTGCTGCTGCTGCTGTTGCTGCTGTTTCTGTTGCTGTTGTTGCTGTTGCTGCTGTTGCTGCTGTTGCTGTTGCTGCTGTGGGCAGTCTCACTCAGTCCCTCCCTCACTCAATCACTCCCTCACTGTGTGGAGTCTCAATCACTCACTCCCTCTTTCACTCTCTATGTGTAGTCTCACTCCCTCCCTCACTCACTCACTCCCTCACTCACCGTGTGGAGTCTCACTCACTCACTCACTCCCTCACTCACTCACCCACTCACCGTTTGTAGAATCACTCACTCACTCTCTTATTCACCGTGCGTAGTCTCCCTCTCTCCCTCCCAAAGTCCCTCACTCCCTCACTCCCTCACTCACCTTGTGTACTCTCACTTTCTCCCTCACTCACTCATTCCCTCACTCGCCGCATGTAGCCTCACTCACTCACTTTCACTTTCTCTCATGTGTATTCTCACTCAATCCCTCACTCACTCCCTCACTTACTGTTTGTCGTCTCACTCCTTCCCCCACTCACTCACTCATTCAATTACCATATGTAGTCGCACTCACACTCACTCCCTCCCTCACTCACCGTGTGGAGTCTTCACTCCATCCCTCCCTCCCTCAATCCCTCACTCACTCGCTTCCCCCACTCCCTCACTCACCATGTGTTGTCTCACTCACTCACTCACTCCCTCACTCACCGTGTGTTGTCTCACTCACTCCCTCACTCACCGTGCATAAACTCTCTCCATCAGCACCTTCTGTCCGTACTTGAGCCAGTGGTACTGGTCCCCTTCACTCCCCTCTCCCTCCTCCCCTTGTCCTTCTCGCCTGCCCTCCTCTGCTGCATCCTCACTCCTCTCTTTCCCTCCCTTCTCTTCCCCCTCCTTTGCCACCTTCTCTTCTCTCTCCTTTTGTACGTCCTGTGCCCCCTTCCCTCCAACGCACGCCCGTTTCTGCGCCGGCTCCGTATCCTGCTCCATTGTCTCCTGTTGGGAAGCCATTCCACTGCCCGTCGACGTGCCAGGCCTGTGCAACTCCTCCACTGGCACCTGAACTTTCTCCTGGACCACCTGCTCCCGCTGATAGCCCTGTTCCTCCCTTATCCTCCCCTTCTCGCCAGGCCATTTCTCCATCTTCCTTCTCCTCTTAGCAGCGGGGAAGTCACGCGTCAACCCGTCCCCCACCTTCCCTCCCCCTCTCTCCTGCACCGGTGCATCACACCCACCAGCATGCGACTGAACCTCCATGGGCGTCCCACCCTCTTCCCCACTCACCCTCCGTGCTACCTCCAGCTCCACTGCCCCCCCTCGTCCCCTCCCCCTGCCTCCTCTCCCGCCTCTTCCTCCTCCTACTCGTTCTGACGGCACAGCTGCCCACCCCAAGCCCCCTGGTTTTTGTTATAACCCGCCTCAAAACCCCCTCGGCCCCTCCCCCTGCCTCCACACCCATCCCTTTCTCCTACTTGCTCTGATGGCACAGCTGGCGATCCAAGGTCCCTGCTCCCTCGGTGCATGGTGGCTCCGCTATAGGCTCTTCTTTACCCTTGAAAGATGGCTGCTCCTCGTTGTGCCCATGAAAGTACCCCTCCCCTTGCCCCTCCCCTTGCCCCTCCCCTTGCCCCTCCCTTTGCCCCTCCCCATGCTGTTGCCCCTCTTCTCGCCCCTCCTCCTGCCCCTCCGCTTGCTCCTGATTTTCCCGCTTCGCTCCTGATTCCTCTAGCTCTCCCGAGTTGCCGTGCCCGTGCGTGGGAGCAGAGAGGGCGTGAGGGTGGGTGGTGCTTCTGTCGCTGAATGATGCATGCTGCTCGCTAGGGTAAATGGGGGCGTTTTGTGGTATGGGCAGAGAGGCAGTATATTGGAGCTTTTGTAGAAGTGCCAGTACCTCCTCCGCTCCTTGTTCCACCTGCTCTCACACCGCATTTTGCCATCATGCCCTTCCCTCTGCTCTTCTTTCTTCATCTCCCCTTTTTCCCGCAACTTTATTCTCTCTCCCCAACCAGAAGGGGCATAGTGGCTCCCTTGAATCGCACCAACCCCACTACCCCCGCTGTTGCACGCACGCCCGTGTCTTTCCTACCCTTTTTCGTGCATCCCCTCTCTTCCCATCTCTCTTACCCTCCATCTCTTCCACCCCAACAGAAGAGGCATGCGTGCCGTAGTGGCTATGTTAAACCGTACCAACCCCGCCACCCCTGCTTTCCACGCACGCCCGTGCCGTTCTTCCTCTCTGCTCCAGCCAAGATCAACCCCTGCAAGGGCCACTCGCAGCCCCTCACCTATACTCGGGTAGGTGCAGTGCGGTGCGGCATGGTTGATTACCCTACAGGTCAGTGAACTTTGGTGCAGCATTCCTTGTCCTAATTCTTTCATGTGTCACCCTCCTGTGACCTCAGGTTGTGCAAAATTGCTATAAGATCCCTCAGTACACCCGATGGCTGCCTGCCCAGCAGCGTGCAGGAAAGGGGACGAGAATCCGCCTCTTAGACGTCACCTCCTCCTCTCTCTACCGCCCAGACCGGTGTTAACAATTATTGCGTGCACTACTGCCTCCCTGGTGTGCTGGATTCATGGGTGGACATGCTTCACAACATGTTCGCGAGACAAACGATCTTCCGAGTGCGAAAGGGGGCTGCTATAGTGAGATAGAAGAGCCGGAATCCTTGCCTCGTGTCCTCAAGTGCTGAGTAATGTTCACGAAGGTGCAAACGAGGAAGTTACGGTATGTGTTTGTGCATGTCCTAGTATGGCGTTTGATTGCGTACTAAAAGCAAGTCATTATACACTCATTAGTCATAAACCAGGCGTGATTCATGCGCATCTCAAACATAACGGCTCTGCTCGATTCGTCTGGTACGGTGCCTCCAGCACTCATTTGCCATAAATACAAGCCTGTCTGCCTATACATCACCATTCGTGTGTCTATGATCCTCCACTTCTTGTGGGTGATGGCGTTGCAACCTTTTAAAGAATACAGACGCTAGTGAAACCACGACCACTACAGCTGCTACTGGCACCGTTAGGGGTGGGTGAAGGAAGATTATGAAGGGAATAGGATGGCGACGAGAGCGACTGGTGGAGAGATGAGCAGATGAATGGGGGGTGAAAAGAAGAGAGGACTGCACGGGGAGAGGGGAGACGTGAAGAGGGGGAGAAGGGGAAGGAGGGGGCGGAGGGGGAGGAGGGGGAGGAGGGGGAGGAAGGGGAGGAGGGGGAGGAGGAGAAGGTGGGGAAGGAGGGGGGAGAGGGGTTGAGGGTCTCGAGAGCATGGCGATGGCAGCAGCAGCAGCAGCTTCAGCTGCGAGGAAGAGGAGCACCCAGGGGAGAGGGTTAAAAGGACCCTTGCTTCCACCACCACCCTCCCCATCACCACCACTGCTGCCCCTGCTGTTACCACCACCACCACCACCACCACCACCACCACCACCACCACCACCACCACCACCACCACCACCACCACCACCACCACCACCACCACCACCACCACCACCACCACCACCACCACCACCACCACCACTGTAACCATCACCACCATCGCCCCTACCCATTCCCCAGCTACCACCACCATCAACATCACTGTTAACATCACTGCCACGACGACCAACCTGAGCACGGGCGGAGTGTGCCGCCACCATTTGGCACAGAACTTCATTGAGCGTTCGCCACAAGAACCGACCGCCATTGACCGCTGATCCTATGAGCTCACAATCTCTAGTCGGTTTCCCCAGTGCTCTTCCCCTCCCAGCAACATACCCCTCCCCTCCTCGGAGAGCCATGGGAGAGCAAGTGGCCAAAGAACCCCTTCCAGGATTTGAAGCCAGTTGTGCAGATCGTGTGAATCGCCACATGGCGAAAGCTGGGAGGCAAGCCAGCTCGACGACTCTGAGCGGCCGATAGGGTAGCGGATTCGCCAATTGGTCAGGATGATTAACTCCGGGTTGATATTAGCCCGGCTTGCTGCTGCCATCGGAATAGATATTGGATAGTTTCCTGGGCTTATGATTTGGTGGCCAATAGCTCAGGGCAAGTGCCCCCATTGGGCATTTATAACCATTGGAATAATACAAAATGGCGGCCTGAAGGTAATCGCCGGTTTAGGATCCACAACCCGTGCTGACGTGGCATCGGAGCAGCGGTGCTGACGGCCTGGTTTGGAGCCACAAGGAGCGCGGTTGTGTGGGCCTTAGGAGTACCGATCAGTGAAAGTTGCGCCATGATTGCGGGTACTAGTGATGGATAGAGGGAGATCTATGCTTTGCGGCTTTGGCCTGCGGAGGGTAGACAGAGTGAGCGAGCTGGCGTGCGAGAAGCGCGGCGTTATTGGCGGTGGTAGGTGTTGGCTCGTGTACGAGACGAAACGGTACGAAATGGCAATGCTGTTGGGTGCAGTTGAATACTTGTTATTGTATGGCTCATCCCGAGATAGAGCGAGCTATTGTTGTGAATGCTGGGAGCAAGTCCTTTAGGAGACGAAATGGTATACAGTGTGTTGAATCCTTCTAAACGTCACAGACTCTTCTTTCAGCTGCCCGTACTCATTTGTAGGTTCCCCTCTCTGCCTCCCTGATGTGCCGGATCCCTGAGTTGACAGGCATCATAATAGTTCTCTAGTGCTTAGGGGGAAAATACAGCATGATCTTAGCATAGAACAAGGGAATAGAATGAGGTAGTACAAGGGAATGTAACCTAAGGGGTTGTATTCTGTATGGGCATGCACCTAGCTAGCCTATAACATATACAAATTATATGTTGACACACCCCCTAGGCTAGACAAGGGGCAGCGACTAGTACAAGACACGCAGCTCAGGGTGGCACTACTAGTCCAACCCCTGAGGCAAGGGTGTGAAGACCAGTCAGGAAGAGTACAAAATAAAAAAGAGCAATCCAGGGCGACACTACTAGTACAGCCACTAGAACAAGAGCCACAAGGCCAGTCAAGATAATATAAGGAGTAGTATACAGTCAGGGTCCTAGCAAGTGAGAAGCTACAGGAACTAGACCAAGCTGTAAACAGTGCCGCTGATGATCTTTAGGCACAAGCGCCTTCGTAAAGATATCAGTTGTGTTAGCACCAGAGGTCCAGTGAACTACGCGAGCCTGACGACGCTGCTGTAGTTCGCGTAGGAGGAAGTACCACAGCTGGATGTGCTTTGCTCTGCCCTCCAGTCTGGGCTCCTGACACTGGAGCATCATGGCCCTATTGTTAGCGTACAGGACCGGGGCAGAGCTAGGTCGCTCACCAAAGTCTGTGAGCAAGAAAGTCAGCCAGCGGAGCTCCTGTGCCACCATGGCACCAGCGTAGATCTCAGCCTCACAGCTAGAATGGGCAACAAACGACAAGCGATTGGACCTCCACGAGGTGGCGCCTACACCAAGGCTAAAGCAATAGCCTGGGAGGACCTGAGCGTCTCAGCGTCGTCCGCCCATGAAGCGTCTGTGTGCCCTATAAGGATCACTGGTCTGCGTCCTCCTAGCACTAGCCTCATGCCTGATGTACTTGCAAGATAACGCAAAACCATCCTAGCGACCGACCAGTGTTGTGGTCGGTGTCTGCTTGTGGCTACAAAGCAAGCCAGGATGCTGAGAGGGTATGCGAGATCTGGACGAGTGCAAGTCATCAGATACATAAGGCAACCCACCAGCTCTGCGTAAGGTCCACTAGGCTCTACTGACTCCTCAGGGACTGGTTCGCTTGTGATCTACTGGCAGAGGTGTGGGCTATGCGGAGGAGAAGTGAAGACTGAACCTCTGAAGGACCTGGCGCACCAAATGTAACTGTGTGAGAGTGATGGTGCGCACTACTCTGTCCCTGGACATCTACAAGCCAAGGTAGCGGCGCAGCTCTCCTAGATCAGTGCAGGTGTGTCTCCTTAGCAGCTCAGCCTTCACGGAGGCCAGTGTGTCTCTGTCTGCAGTAGCAAAGACCAGGTCGTCTACGTAGATTAGGATGTAGAACGGGGTATGGCTAGCACGAATGAAGAGCAATGGGTCTTCAGAGGACAGTAAGAACTGCAAGTCAGCTAACGTAGCATGCAGCGTGTCATGCCACTCACGGGGCGCCTCCCGTAGGTTGTAAACCAGGCGCCGGAGGAGCCACTGGATCGCCGGGGCGAAGGTGCCGATGAAGCCTGGCGGGCGACGCAAGTAGACCTGCTCGTGCAGACTGGCTTGAAGAAACACTGTGGAGAAGTAGAGAGAGTGCAGCTTGTAGTCAAGCTGTGCTGCTACGTGTAGCGGCGCCCGAAGAGTAGTCATTTTCGGGGTCGGGACGAAGGTCTGGAAGAAGTCAACACCCTCGCGCTGACTGAAGCCTCTAGCAACGAAGCGTGCCTTGAACACCAGCGACTCTCCAGTATGGTGCTTCACCTTGAAGAGCCACCGGCGATCGATTACCTTCACCCGAGGTGGGAGAACTGAGTCGACGTAGGTGCCAGTGCATCTCCAATATGCCATTTCCGTGTCCATGGCAGATGTTCACTGAGAGGCCCAGATTCCCAAGGTCGCCTCACCGTAGGTGCGAGGGGTTAGGATGTCGAAGGCATCTGGCTCCCCCTCAGACACTAGCAGCATGGAGCAGAGATGAGGCGTGGCCTCAGACAGGAAAGCAAGCTCGTACTATCGGTCCTCTAGGACGTCATTGCCAAGGGCATGAGCACCCCCGACGGACAGAGGACGGACAGGGTCAGAGACTAGAGCGGTGGCGTAGTCAAGGTGGCAGGTAGAGACGAATTCATCGAGGGCAGCAACAAGCGCGTCAAGACCCGAGACAGGAACAGACGGGTCGGTAACAAAGGAGGCAAGGATCCGAGGAACAAGGGGAATAGTGGCACGAAGGTAGTCAGATAGAGGAGGCAGAGCGGCAACAAGTGACGAGGGAGGAGGCGAGGGGAGGAGGGAGGATGATACGCGTGGGAACGAAGAAACATAGGGTGAGAGCGCTGAGCAGCGGAGACAAGACGAGCACGAAAGAGACGTAGAGATCAGAAGTGGCACGGAGGCGTCGGGTCATGAGACACAGGAGGAGACAAAGGACAAGAACGAGGGGGGAAACGAGCCGGGGACGAGTCCGGCAGAGGAAAGACAGGGCCGTAGACAGGCAAGGGAGGCGGCAGCGGGTGAGGCATAGACGGGTGATCAGGGAGGGAAGGCCGAGGAGGCAAAGGGCAGACACCGGCATCGACTATTGCTGCTGCTGTTGCTGCTCCTCGCCGACACCAAAAGCTCTAGCTATACGACGCCTACCTCCGGGACACGCGACACGAATACCCCCAGAGCGAGAACCCTCTACAATACCGGTGCCCCCCCACGACCGCCGGGACGAGCTACGACAATAACCCTAGGACTAGCACCCCAAGAACAAGCACCCCCAGAACTAGAACCCTCTCGAGCACCGGTGCCACCCCCAGGACTGCCAGGACAAGCCACGACAGGAACCCGGGGACTAGCACCCTCCTCAATGCCCTCACCCCCAGAGTTCGCGGACAACTGCTGCTGCGACGGCTGCTGCTGCAGCTGCGACGACGACGGCAGCTACTGCGACGGTGGAGGAGGAGACAACGGGGCAGAAACAGGAGGCGAGAACTGTGTCGCGGGCCCACCAGAGTCAGCCAGCTCCTCGACCGGGACAACCGATGGAGGGGAGTGACGTGAGACACACCAGACGGAGCAGGATGGGGAGGAAGAGGAGCAGGGGCTACCGGGGGGAATGGGAACCAGAAACAGGGGCAGGGAAACCAGGAGATCTCATTGGGGAAAGCGGTGGTAGAAGGAGACAAACTCATCGAAAGTGACGACACGCGAGTGAAAGAAGCGGTGAGACGGTGGGTGGTAAAAGTGCCAGTCAGACACGTAGAGAGGGAAACCAAGGAAGTCACGGGGGATAGTGCGGGCAGTGAGCTTGTCCGTGCTAGAGGCACTAACGTGAGCAAGGCAGCCCCAGACGTGGAACGCGGGCGCGTCACAAGGTAACCTGGTCCAGAGAAGGGTCGGCGAAACCTACGGCCGCTGGGAGTGCTGCCACTGGTTAAGCTGGTGAGCGGCGTAGCGAACATCGAATGGCCACAGAAAATGGGTGCATCGGCATGGATCATGGAGGTACGAGCCACCTCCATGACCAAACCGACGAGTCGCTCAGCAATCCCATTCTGCTGTGGGGAGTCTGGTAGGGTGTACGATTAGGTGATGCCCTCCGCACGACAGAACTGGCCAAGCCGAGCGGAGGCAAACTCGTCGCCACGGTCAGAGTGGAGACACAGCACGGGGAGGCCGCGGTGGACGGCATAGCTATGACCCACGGGATGAGAACGTCAGGCACATCGGCGTTCTGCTCCAGGGGAACACCATGGTATAGCGCGTGTAGTCTCCGACAAGCACTACAAAGTAGTGCTCTCGACGCGGCCCAGGGACGGGGGGTTGGGCCCCAGACGTCTAGGTGCAGAGTCTGGAGTGGTGCGGTGGCAGGACAAAGCGAGGAGGAGTGAGGAGCATGGCGCAGCCGGCCCTCAACGCAGGGCGTGCATGGCGGCGCAGGGGAGGGAGGGGAGGGTAGGGAGCGAAGCAGGGAGGCCTAGGACAAGACTGTACTGGGA